CGGCATTGCGGCGTCGGGGCGGAAATCAGGATGAACTGGTGCGTGCGGCGGTGTGGGCGACGCAGCAAGCGTAGGGGCTTGCTCAGCTCACGTCTCTCTACCGCGCAGAACACTTGGGTGTCTTTGTGGTTCACGAGGAGCGCGGTTTGAACGCGTTCTCTGCGTGAACGTTACCTTTCCATCTTGGAGGGCGTGGAGCTGTGCTTAGTTATTTGTGATCTGAGTAGGTAATTTTGTGGGGGTGGGGTCTAAGCGTTTCATGCTAAATGCTGACTTACGGTTTTCAGCATCCCACACTTATTTACTATATGCTGTCATTTTTCCTGATTAATGAATTGGCTTATAGTTTACCTTGCCTTTTGTTAGTTTTAATTTCTGCTCCCTATGCCTCCATCATTTCTGGAAGCTCCTGATCTGCAGATGAGATGCCCGCGTATCACCTTGCCACTCAGGGCGGCTCAGCCATGTTCAGAGCCAGTGTTAGACTTGGGATTTCCTGACAAAGGCTATGCTGTAGGCCCCTCCTGCTTGCCGCTATATCACTAGCGCTGCTACTTAAGTCAATTTAGCGTTCTCTCTTCCATGCCTCCGCTGTCATGGGGCTCAAGGTAATTGTTTTAGTTACCATCCCATCAATATGGTTCCTGCTGCATTAAAATCAGGAGTTATGTTTTGCCTTTCATTGTAGCATCTTTGTGTATGTGTTTAAAAAAAAAAAAAACCCTACAAAAAAGGTCTTCCAAAACACAACACGAAGGAAAAATGTAGTCTGTGACTGTATATGTCCCTGGCTCCCTGACTAAAAATATGACTTGAGAGATGAACAGGTTTTTTTTCTTCCCCCTTGCTTGCTTACCTAATTTGTAGAAGGGAGGCTGTATCTCCTAGGGATCTGTGAAAGTTCATGAGTTGCTTTGAGATCTTTGAGCGGAAAGATTTGAAAACATGTGATGTCTGTGTTAATATGTAGGAGGTAAAAAAGAAGAGCTACAAAAGAGGAAGTGCCTTTATGCCTGCTGCTTTGCTAAGAGTTTTATTTTAAGAGCAGAACTATACACACAATTCTGAAAATAGCAATGCCAGAGAGCGATTTTTCTTAAGCGTGTATCTGTATGCGCCTGCTACAGCATGTAGCAAGATAGCATTTTAAATACAGTGGAGGAAAAGTTAATAAATTTTTTTCATTACAAACAAGGTATCTTAGTCTAAGGAATGTATAACTTAAGTTACTGGCAAAACTAGTTCTTTGCATAATGAAAATAGAATGACTGGAAAACACGTAGAAGATTATTTATTCTTGGTTTAAGGTTATGGTATTTCAGGGTCTGTCTTCCCGACCAGTCCTTAAGAAGAAGATTTCCGTGTGTACTAACGTGCACTACGTAGCACACTAAAGTTTTGTGTGGATTGGAGGAAGAGTGATATGCTGGCTGAAGCAGAAAAGCTTGGAGACATGATCCCTAATGCCCATATCTTTAGGGATCATGAAGGAGGTAATATGTTAGGGCTGTAATTTGACAAAAAATTCTCCCGTGCGTCTTTGTCACTATATGGTATAAAATCATTAGTTTTTGAAGGCTAGAGTTTGGCAATATTTGCCAATGTGTTCTAAAGTTTGTGATTGAAATACTGTAAAGAAATTCAGTTTTTGGGGGGAGGAGGAGAAAGTCCTCAAAAAACCCCACATCATTCTTAAGTCATGGAAGTACTTTTCTTAGTTTTAGGGAATTTGTATGGTTCCTTTTCAAACTTAAAGTGCATCGGGGTGTGTGGGGGAAACATGTGTCTTGTATTATCATCACAGAGGTGCACTATAGGAAATAACCTCTTTCCTCATGTGAGTATACTGTAAGATGGAACAGTGCCCATATATGCTGATTAATATGAATTTCCTTATGAGTGTGAATATCCAGGACAGCCTTTTTTTACTTAGGTTGGACAGGTTGGATAATTTCTGTAGTGTTAGCCATGTTCAAGTTTCTCTTGGGGAGTGACTGAGAATATTTCGAAATAGATTTTTGTTCAAAAAAAATAGAGTAATCTGTCTTACCGATATAATTTTTCTCTCTAAAACATTCAGGTCAAATGTTAACTCTCTCTGTTAAATGCAAGTTTTCTAATGTTTGAACATGATGAGCATGAATGAATGCAGCTCTTGTTTAATGCTCTGGCATTCCTTGGAGACTACTGGCTCTGCTGGCATGTATAAAAAAGTAATGCACTGGAATCCTTATTGGACTGGCATGTTTAGAAATGCCTTGGTTGGATGGTGTTTTGTTGTTTAATGAAAGGCAATTATATCCTGCATTAGCTGTAATCTCAGCTGCCCTGAGCTGGGTGCCAATTTCTGCTGGAGCAACCATTTCGTTCTTATTGACCAGCAGAATTGAAGCCAGCTCTGTCGGCAGCGAGGTTCCTGCCTCTGATGATTTCAAATGCCCACTAATATGTCTGGGCTTATCTAGGTTTCTGGCTTATGTAGGCACTCATTTTTGCAAAGTGATGCTGCACTCACATGACCTAGGAGAGTGGCACAGTTGACCCTTAGAAATGCCCACAAATCTGGTATCTAGTCCATGGCTCCAGAAAGATTGGAGAGGATTTAAAAGATGTATTCTACGAACAGGCTGTACAGGTTTCTACCTTACCTCCTGCCTAACAATCTTCCACCTGGAGGGTCCTGGTCAACTGTCCTGTACAAACTCAGACGTGAGATCCTTGGGTGAATGGTACTATCCATTCCTTTAATTTTTGAAACATGTCTCCACTGTACTTTTTCCAAGAAGAAATGCTATTAAAAGCTGTGTAGTTTTCTTAATCTTTATATTCCTACTGTTGGTTTTTTTTAGCTTATTTTGATGGGAAATTGCAAGACGAGGAGAGAAACTCAGTGATAGAGTTAGCTTATCTGGCTCTGTCGTTATGCTTCTCTGCTTAACAGCAGGATCCACTGAATCAGAGCAATATTTATCAAAGTTCTGTATTTGTATTTCTAGTTTATTATATGCTGGCCCTGTGGCAGTCATGGTACTATTTAAAAGGGAAAGAACAGTGAGAGCTTAAAAAAAAAAGGGGGGGGAGGGGGTTGCTGACTTTGTTTTCAGGAAGTGTGAAATAGTTAATTTCACCCAAGTCTATCAAAATTAAATTCTTGCTGTGAAAAGTGGTATTTTTGCCTCAGCTACTTCACTTGTAATTATCAGTTAGTAACCATATGTCCTTATTTATATGTATTTGATTTTGAGGATAACAGGAGATGATATTTTTCTTCTCAAACTTTCATTTGAACTTTAGATCTTAAATAACTTAGTTTATGTTCTGCTGTTCCAAAATCATAATTGCTGTTGTGGACTGAATGCACTTCCGAAGGTGGTTAAAGTGCATTATCATCAGGAGAAGCCAGGGCTGATAGTCAAATAAAATACTCTTTTTTTCGTTGAAAATGCAGTTAAGAATCTCCTTGGAAAAAATTTAGGAAGAATAGTAAGTACTGACAACGGGCTTATCAGAAGAGGTGGTAATTTACTTTCTCAGCTGAAACTTTCTCTCCTCAGTCCTTGACTCATTCTGTAGAGAATGGCGTGTGCTTAGGAGGATCATGTGCATTCTAGTCTTTTAATAGACTGTAGCAATGACACTTTTATAACGTGTGTGTACACTGGCAACATGAAGTGTTAGAGTTTGCATCATGTCTTCTGTGAATTTTTTGTCTTGTTAACAGTTAATAGCCCTTCCTTTGTTAATTAAAGGTGGGAATCTTTCTGAAAAATTAAACAGGCGGTTTAGAATTAGCAACATAGATTTAGAAAGAATAATATTGCTACACAAGAATATCTTTAAACTATTACAGACAGTAAGAGTCCTCTCTTACCTATGCTTCGTATTCAGTAATCTAAGTCTTCATGTTTCAGTGGTATATATGTATGTGTATATATATATTTTTTTTATTAAGGCTCTCAAGGCATTTAGGAATCTGAATGAGCACAGTAGGTTACAGAATGATAAGATGGAGGTGTCTTAAAATGTCCATGATACAGAATTAAAATCCATAAGCAGAACAGAAGCTTTAAGGAATTACCTTTCTCATAGCATCATTGTAATGTCTGACTGATGGTTTGAGATCCTAAGCCTTTTGCTATCTTTCATCAGAATCATCGCCTTGCTCATAGCACAGTTTCTCAGCCGTAGGAATTTGTTTTGCCTTTTCCCTTTTCCTCCCATAGGTATGCAGACAGAATCCGATCTATTTGGTTTGCAGTGAAGAACCTTCACTTTCCATGGTAGAGAAACAGCTACCTCCCTTATTTAGCAGTTTAGCAATGTCACTGAAAACATGTAATTTTCAATAGATTTGTGTCTGATGGTGCTTGCCTTTCGAACTGTATTATATTCAACTTTTATATCATCATTATATATAGTGATAAACTTGTGCTGCTAAATGTATTGGTGGCAACGCTTTGGCTTTTCTGTTTAGCTTTAAATAGTAGTTGGTCTGTTCTAAAGTCACTGGGAGAAACTCAACACTACCTGAACACAAGTTTCCCATCTCCCTGTTGTTCTCTTCTGTGGAACTTGTAAGAATGTAGTTCTCTTAGAAATCGCCTGCCTTCTATTTAATCTAGTTTAAATTAACCAGCAGATTCAAAATCAAAGGAGAAACAGATTTGTATGCAGGCCTGGCTATCATAAAAGCCTTGAGGTTGGAAGATAAGCTGAAAGTCTTTGGTCCTTAATATGTTACAGATCAGGGAACTCGTGCTGAAGAGAAAACAGACTTTCATATGATGGTATTGAGGAGGAATAAATGAAAGAGACTTTTAATATACCTTTATGGCTTTGGAATTTGCTTTTCTCTGCACCTCTGAGAGCTTGAGTTCAACTCTTTGTGGTAACTTTAACAAAAATAATATGTTTAATGGGGTGGATTCACAACAGGAAAAGTTGGCCATACACAACTGTAAAGTCAGTTCACAGGCTCAGCTCTTGAATGATGAATTAGAAAAAGTATGCACATGTAAATAACTGTACATGTGTTTGGACAAAGGCGGGTATCTGTCTCTGCAAACAGAAGCAGTACCTAGTGGGTCAGACCAATAACCGGTCTAGCCAAGTATTCTCCCAGCACCTGGCAGAAAAGGCACCATGGATTATTGTTTGTGGATGCGTCTCATCTCTTCCACTGCTGACTTTGCGGTTTCCCAAAACACAAGAAATTTGACAGCATAATTTGGTAGTGGGGCACTATGCTCGTATTCTTCCCTGGAAACAAAATGAGACGGCGGCAATAGGAAATGCTATTTGGGGAGGACATGTGAGCCTGGACGCTTTCTGCAGTTTATCCTCCTCATATGTCCGCGTCATTCAGGATTGTTTTAGTAAGGATGTTGGTGGGTATGTCCTTATCTAGTCAGTTTGTGGACCTGCTGTTCGTGAATTCATCTGATTCCTATTTGAACCTTTCAGAAGTTGGCCTCTGTGATCTGGGACGTTGTTTCGAAGAGAGAAATATTCCTAAAGAGGCAGAAAGAGACAAACAGTAATGCAATGTGAAGGAGTATTGTTTAAAACTGAAATGTGGTTGTATTTTTAAATTGTATTTAATTTTCAAAAGCCTCTAAATTCTGTTAAAAGCTCTATTTTAAGTGCTTAGAGTAATATGTATTCTCACTTTTACAGTAACCTAGTATCAGTCTAGCAGACCACAAATATAACTGTTAGAACTGTTATAAACAGTATATCTGATTCATATGAAGGATGCTTATTAATTTTGAAGTATTTTATTTTGGAACTCTATTTTAACACTGGAAATATTTTCAGAGTTGTAACCATTTGTAATCATGAAGGGGCTTAGCCCTTGGAGTAACTTTTAGACGAAAAGAAAACTCTTCTGCGTTATTATCTCTAAACCACTGTCAGGATTTTTGGGGAATGATTCATGAGGTTTTGAAAGCTTGGCGATAATGGTATGAACATCCGAGTGTGAAACAGTCAAGCAGTGCTGTTCAAACTGCTGTTTCAAGCATAATGCTTCATGTGATGAGTTAATTTTTCCCTTAGGAAAATTAAGTTCCTGGTTTGTGGTGGTCTTTGAAATATATTTTTCCATATAATTTTTCTACAGAAGGGAATTTGTGATTTATTTTGTACATGTCATTATATTTTCTTCATGGATTTTCTTCATGGCAGGGTCAGTGTTTTTTTTTTGTTTGTTTGTTTTTTTTAAACCTACTGCTCGACTACCGCAGTGATTAAACATGATCTTCTCTGCTAACAGATCCCTGACAGTGTCAGAAGATTTACTTTACCTAGCAGAGTTATCTATTTTACAAAAGTATTTGAGAATATTTAGTATGGATGTGTTAGTCTAAGGTTTATTTTGGAAAGCATCAGTATGCTTCTTAGAGTTAACAAGTCAAAGCTGTCTTTTTCTTTTTTTTTAAGCTTAGAAACATGTTGTCCTTGAAAGGCATTTTCCAACAGTATTTAGTCTCTT